GAATGCCAGGGAATTTCTAGAAGCCTGGCACTCTTGACAAATCAGCCATCAATAGAAACATTAACAACATCTATAGACTATGCAAAAGAGACTATCACCCAGTCCAAAAAAGAACAAAAAGATTCCAGCACCTCTCCACCAGCAATCAGCACTCAGGTCAGCGTACATTAACTCCAAGGTCAACTTCAGACCAACAATCAAGTAAGCAATATCCCAATCAAGAAATTGTCACAGAGCCATTAGTAAATGGCCCAACTGAAGAATCCCTAAGACTGCCCCCATCCACACAAACAGGCAAGACCTCAGAATATAAACAGACAGCAAACAGCACTCCTGACTAGCATTGATGATGTTACCTAGTTAGGGTAATGAAACATATGCAAGAAAACAAATAAGAGAGCACCAAGGACCCCTCATTCCAAGCCCAGGTGCCCCTAATATCCACAATCACTTAGCCTTGGTAGGATTCAGTCAGAATCAATTCCCACCATATAGCCTCCAAGCACTGGGGCAGAGCTTTGACAGCCTCACTTAGCTGGACTGGAGTCCTAATATATTGAATCCAAGAAGGGTGGATTATCTCATTCAGTAATTTCCTGTAGGTACTAAAAAGTGGAGATAAACGTGTCAAGCCGTAATGTACCCCACAAAGGTAGGCATCCCTTGCGCAGCCAATATCATCTGGAATTGATCCTGCAGGAAGGAAAAGAATTACAGGTAGTCCTTGATTTATGGCCATTTATTCAGTGGCTGTTCAAATGGTGGTTACAACCAGTCCTCAGAGTTCCAGTGTCCCAGCATTCCCATGGTTATGTGATTGTGATCTGGGTGTTTGGCAACTGGTTCATACTTATGACCTGTTGTAGCAACCCATGATCATGTGATTGCCATTTGCAACCTTCCCTACTGGCTCCTAAGAAAGGTCCAGGTCACTAGGGTAAGTCCTCAGCCAGACACAATTTTTCGGCCCATCTGCACTCATGCTACACCGGCTACTTTCACACCATCTCCAACTTACACCACACCCTATTACAACCTCACACTCCATCCCTGACCTGCAGCACACACCTCTCACATAACCACCCCAACCCAGGCTGTGTCTATCGCACACATTCACACTCTTCTGCATACATTCTGACTCATGCCGCATCTCTCATGCACTCTGCCCAATCCATGCCATAGACTCACACTCTCACACACCTTCCCTGAACCTCCCTTGTGTCATCCCACACTCTCTCCACACCCTGCGCACTTTCCCTCTTGCAGCTATCAGCAGCCACTTACATGCCAGCCTGCATTTACAAATTCCTGCCAGATTCCCCACTGACTTTGGTTGTGGGAAGCTGGTAGGAAGTTTTGTCACCTAATAATTAATTACAGTAACCAGGACTGCTAAGCAATACGCTAAATAATGCAGACCACTTAGAGACTTAAATTCTTGTTTCAATTCTGCCATGAGTCAAGGACTAGCTGTACCAAAAAACAATGCCCCCAATTCCCAATCTCTAGAGTTAATCCAGATGTTATCAAAAGCTGCTGAGAAATCAAAAGAGCACAAGAATGGATGGACCACCTCCATCTCAGCTTGGGTATCGAACTCGATCGTGTCATGTGATATATCGTGATGTAGCGCGATGTTTTTTGCCTTTGCAGAGCCAGGGTGGGCATGGCCTGTGCATGACGCATTCAGCCCGTGGGCCATCAGTTTGACACTCCTGATCTATAAGTAGGTCTCTTCTAAATACCAGACTGAAATGTGGGTAGATGCATATTAAGAGCATGTTGTGGAAGCAACTAAATTTATTTTGACAGAAGATCTTTTTGGTTCCAGGATGAGATGAGAACATGTCAAAGCACCTATGTGATTGATTCCCAAGTTCCTTTTACTGTATGCTTTACTTTTCATAATTTAGATTTTCTATGGTAAAGACTCCAGTTGAATTGAAATAATATCGAAAGAAAAAAACAGGTAATCTAAGTTTTTCTGGTTTGTTTTAAAAAGTTTCTATGTCTGTAGACACTTTATGAAGAGCAAAATATTAGTATGGTGGAAAGAAAAAAAATAAGAAATCTGGTAGCACCTTTTACCCTTATCTCATCCGAATGTATATCCTACATCAGCTTAGCCACTCTGTGAGCTGTGGCTCACAACAGCTTATGCCTGTTAATAAAAGTTGTAAACTGGAAAAGATGCTTTTTGACAATGTCTGCAGACCACTTAAATCCCCCAAAATGCAAATGGAGTTTGGGTCATTAATAAACAGTGTTCTGTATGTATGCTACTATAGGTACTAGGACATTTTATAATATTGACCCATCCTTGTGTAAATAATTGTTCGGTGCTGCTGAACAATGAGCATTTTAAATCTATCTACTATGTCTATAAATTTTATTTAAATGTCAATTGTTACTTTAGTTAATAACTTAAATTTCCTGTTCTAGTAGACCTCAAGATGCAACAAATTGTTTCTAAAATCATTTACATCTGAAATGAATGTTAATAGCCTTTTGGTGTGAAATGTAAAATATTAGCCTTCTGCTTTGTGGTACCGATGTCACTTTGTATTTTTAACTTTCTTTACTGCCACCTACCCACCATTGCAGCTGTTTATGTTGACTCATATGTTTTTGAAAGACATTCACAAGTATAATCACAAGTATTTTTGCTTGAAGTATCTCGGCATCTTTTGTATCAGTTCAATGGACGTATGGAAATCTCACAGATTTTTTTTTACTCTAGTCGTGTAGGAAAGAATGAATTAGAAAGCTGATTTAGTAACTAGCTCAAGTTCTCTCAGTTTATGTTAAAATCAGAAATTTTTGTTACATTCAAATTTTTAAATAAAGCATAGAAATACTTATGACAGTAGAAAGCCATACAAAGTTTAATACAAGGAAAAAAACTTCTTGAGTTTGTCTTAAGTTAATGCAAGCAAATAATAGTGTTCCATTATTATGAAGGCTTTATATGTCAGGGGTCCCCAATTCCCTTTTCTGGAAAAACCTCTCTCCACAGAACTGGTCCCTATTGCCCAAAAAGTTGGGGACGTCTGTTATATGTGATGCTATGCCATGTTAATCTTTTATAAATCTGCTGGGATTTCTGATCCTGTAGTTGTTCTGTTCCCTAGATCAGGGCTTTTCAACCTTTTCACCCATTGTACCACTTTTAGGATATGGCAACATCCGAGTACCACCAGTCAACCTAGCAAGGTGTCAAAAACTTGATGACTCCCCCCCCAAAAGGAAAAAAGTGATAAAGTACAGATAGTCCTCGACTTACAACAGTTCGCTTAGTGTCTCTTCGAAGTTACAGTGGCACTGAAAAAAGTGCCCCCCAAGCCACAGCCGAGCAAGACACCTGCCTGCCCACCCAGCGGCGCTCTTCCTCCTGTCCGAGGTTTTCATTGTTCTGAGCATTTCTGTTGAGGATTGGCAGCGGGGGTGGGGTGGGGTGGTGTTTGATTTTTATTCCCCCCGCTGCTGGGTGGTTGCAGCAGGTTTTGGTCACTTCACATGATCCTGGGACATTGTGACCGTCATAAATATGAATCAGTTGCCAAGCATCTGAATGTAAATCACAAGATCCTGGAGATGCTGCAACATTCCAGCTGATTGGTGCTTCTTCAAGGCTTAGCAGAAGCACCAGGATCAGTGCCAAGCTCCAGCTGGAGCCTGGCGCTGATCCTGGCGCTTCTACTGAGCCCTGACAGCCCTGCAGCTCCAGCCGTCTCTTGCTCAGGCTTGTGCGATGCTGCCACTGGTTCAGCTCATTCCCCTCCCCTGCTACCACTTTTCTAGGATGGTTACGTACCACCTGCCAGGTGCCAATGTACCACAGGTGGTACCTGTACCACTGGTTGAAAAGCACTGCCCTAGATAAGTAAGTAATAATTCCCTAGATCCAAATACAGTAATACAGTAATACAGTAATAAAGAGGCTGATGGTGACATTACTGGGTATCATGCCATAAAATGTTAGAGTAATATTGAACAAAGATAAATGACATTTGGTAGCTGTTTGTTTTAAGGGGAGAAAACTGCTAAATTTGATAGCTGGTTGCTTTTTTTTTTTTTACATCTATTACGCTATTCACAAAGTAAAATGAGAGTGAAATTGTAGACTATCAGAGGGGCAGCCAAAGAAATAATAAAGAGCCAATGTATCAAACTGTAGTGAAGACTAGAAGGCCCTCTAGTTGCTATTTTCTTTCCATTCACATTGGAATACATTTTGTTAGCCAGTCCTGCCTGTCTGAAAGATGTTGGATGGTCCAATGAATAGTGTACCTGAGCTAGTTTCTCAGGTAATAATAATTGTAAGCTGCCTAGGGTCATCTCTCAGTGAAATAGGCAACATGTAAGTTTAATACATATAAACAAAAAACCCCAAACCATTGCAGTTTTTGCAACCACTACACAATGAATCTTTCCAGACAAGATAAGATATGGAACTATCTCTTAAATGTGACTTCATATCCTAACCTTGTTTGACAAGTTTTAAGTATGGTATACAAGCAATTCCCTAGACCAGGGGTAGGCAACCTCGGCTCTTTTATGACTCATGGACTTCAACTCCCAGAATTCCTGAGCCAGCTGGCTCAGGAATTCTGGGAGTTGAAGTCCATGAGTCATAAAAGAGCCGAGGTTGCCTACCCCTGCCCTAGACTGAGTCCCTGATCACTACAATGAAAAAAGTGTAGAGAAGCAAAGCACATATACACGGATATTATGTATATCCTATCTATTGAGTCCAGATTCATTTGTCAAAGTACAGCCTACAATTTAAATAAACAGCTGTGTTACTGCTGTCCTTTTCTGTCAGTTCTTCATCACTACCCATGATGGGTAAAGATACAAAACAGAATTAAGATAGAAGCATAGTGAGAATTTGCCTATTAGTTACATAATTAACCCCTTACAGACTGTCAAAGACTTAGAAATTCCTTTTTTACCTTTCTTGCTAATGATACTGACTCCTTTAATTTTGGTTATTTTAGGTACTACTCCCAGCAGCTAGTTTGCTCCAACTGCAAGATGTAAAAAAAAGTTGCTGTGATTTTCTGGAAACTCAGCTTCATCCAGTCAACTGTTTGGGCATTCAGGCATTTGCTGATATGCATGCCTGCATTGAGCTTCTAAACAAGGCCAACACATATGCAGGCAAGTGCTACTTCAATTCTAAATACGAAGGTTATAGTACTATTTTTAACATTGGGGAAGCCTTTATATATTGCCCATGTGAAAGAGAATGTAAATTATAATAAAGAAATTAAAGTTGTAAGGGTAAATAAACAAAAATTGTTTTATGATTTGATATTAGCAAGAGGCTGAATGAATTTCAAAAACTAAATTTCAAGTTTGAAATAGACCTTTAAATTTAAATAAAACAGTATTAAATCTTTGAAAACTGGCACTTTTTCCCTTTCTCAAAATATTAATGTAGTAATACAATAAATAGGATTCAATCTGCCAAAATAAAGTAGGAATTATTGTTAATGTGGAAATTCAATAAACAGTAATTCAGTTTCCCAGAATACTTCAGCTATAATATTGATAATATGGCAAATGCAACTAAAATTTTATCTGGCCCGCTATCATTTCTGAGAAACGCTCTATGTATTTTCAAGGGCCTGTGTTGAGAATTATTCTCCTTGTATTAACCATGCATGTATGCTTGCATCTATGGAGTTCACCTTATGGAAAGCAATTTCAATACACTTCATTTCATATGTTAATTTTATATATAAAAATAGTGAGTTCAGACATATAGTAGCAATAGCACTTAGACTTATATACTGCTTCACAATGCTTTGCAGCCCTCTCTAGGCACTTTACAGAGTCAGCATATTGCCCCCAACAATCTGCCTCCTTATTTTACCAACCTCAGAAGGATGAAAGGCTGATTCAACCTTGAGCTAGTGAGAATCGAACTGCTGAACTGCTGTCAGCTGGGAATCAGCAGAAGTAGCTGCAGTACTGCATTCTAACCACTGTGCCACCACGGCTCTGTGGTACTTCATGTAGTAATATTTCTAGTTATGGATTGGGTGTTAATGTCTTTCCTTTGAGAAAATACTGCATAACAATTCCAGTCATTTTTATAAAAATTAGACTCAGCCAACTGTGTTCCCTTCTAATATAGGTTTTCACCACTAGTCTATGCAATTTGGCACATAAGCCTCTAGTTCTGCAGCAATGGGAGGTTGCACTGGCCCAGCCCAGGTAACCCAACCGGATTATGGGAAGTATGTTTGGGCTGGTACCCAGACAATCCCCTGTCTTCGTGGGTGCCTATTTTCTTGAACTAAAAGGTGCAGACAAGAATGACAATTAGCAACGCTCCCTTCCCAGTGTTTTTTTCCGACATGGAGTTCTGCTTCCTCCCTAATAGTCAGCATATTCAGTTTTTCCTTCTTAGAATTTGTTTGTCCCCAGCTATCTTTACTTAAATCATAGAATTCCACCATGTTTTCTCTTATTATCTCCTACGAACAAGCAAGCACTATTATTTCAGCTACATATTTATTGGCACATATGCCCAAATACCAGAAATAGGGTTAATTATGGAATACTTTTCCACTGGATATCTGTCAAGCTCCTTCCCTTTCTTTATTTAAACAATGATTTGAAACTTTGTACATCAACTAGCATCCTGTAGGAATGGTGCTCATAAGCTTGTGAACATTTTTGAATTTTCAATATTTATGCATAAATATGATTTAAAACATGATCTATTCTTTATCAAATCCTGAAATTAGCTTACAGTATTTATTGAGGAAAATAGTTTTTAAGCACCACCATATGTAATGTATGATTTTGTTTGTATGATTTCTTGTATGATTTTACAGAATTAGAAGATATGTTTTAAATTGGATATGGTTATTTTGCTATCCTGTGTTCTAATGTTTATTTATTTATATTGTGCCTTTATTATTTTTACAAACAACTTTTACAAATACAAGGTGGCAAACATATCCAACACACCTCCTATTTTCTCCACTAGAACAACCTTGTGAAATGGGTTAGGCTAAGAGAGAGTGACTAGTCCAAAGTCACCCAGTTGGCTTTCATGACTAAGGTGGGCCTTGAACTCACAATCTCCCGCTTTCTAGCCTGGTGCCTTAACTACTGCCTCTCAAATAATGTTACCTTATTCATTTATTTTATAAATTTATATGATTTTATAACTATCCACTACATGCAGGTGATTATGAGCGGCTTACAGAAATCAAACAAACCCATCAAACATAACAGCATCCATGGATAAATTGTTAATCCCACTTGCCATTAATATTAGTAAAGTTCATCTATCACGTTTGCTGATATTTGTTTATATATGCTTTTGGTATATATAACATTATGCATGCTTTGTAACATGCTCAAATGTGCTGAAAAAAAATTATAGACAGGGTGTTCTAAAAGTCTTAGTATAGTTCTGCACTAAGACTTTGGGACACCCTATATATGAAATAGGATTTATCCAGTCACAGCCATGATTTCAGTCTTTGAATCTTATTATGTATTACATGTTTCTGAACGAAGATCTTATTGTCAGTCTTATTTCCCAAATGTAGTGGCCTTATTTTGGAAATTATGATGGTAGTTGCACACAAAGTCTAGTTGGCTTTATAAATGAGATTTCCACATTTTAAATGACATTACTCTTTCATAGTCATGACGTAGAGAGGAGCTGTATATTCTAGCAATTTAACTAGAAAGGAAACTATTCCGTATCTCTATAAGGATAAAGTGCCTTCTTCATGTTGCTTCTGTTGCTGCAGTCTATACATTTATATATATATATATATTTTTCTTGAAATAGAACAGCACTTTACTGAGGTTGTACTAGGTGAGGAATTTCTCAGTCTTGGTGTAGAACAGGTGTGCAGCTTAATATCCAGTGACAAACTAACAGTAGCATCAGAAGAAAAGGTAAGGTAATATCTTCCTTATTTGGACATTATGGTATGTAATCATGTAGAGGTGTGCAGACTGTTTTAGATGCTAATGTTTAAAATTTGAGTTTGAAATGAGGGTTCTGTTCTTTTTTGATCTGATTACTCAGATGCTATGTCTTTTTTTTAACCAGAAATTTTTGATCTGATTACTCAGATGCTGTGCCTTTTTTTTTTTTACCAGAAATATTCCAATATCAAACAATTCCAGTAAGCTCAGAAGTGTCTAACTTTGAGGGCTTCCAGTTATGGCGTTGCAGTGAGGCAGACACTGGAAGATGAGGTCCGTCTTCCGTGTTTGACTTCGCCCCGCTGGGGGACCTTGAAAAGGGTCAAAAGCTGCCCTGTAGAGGTGGCAAGCAAGAAGGGGACCCTCGTTTGATCATGGGGGGTGGCAGCCCTCCCATTTGATCTGAGGAAGCCCTCCAAATTGGTGGGGGGAAAGACTGGCTACATTCACTTAGCCAGTCAGAAGCTGATGTAAAGGGAAGACACCAAGCACTACTAAGCAAGTGTACAGCAATATGGATGAAACTGGGTGAGATCTAAGCTTCTCTTTATAAATTTGAGAACTTTTCCTGAAAATCTGCCCTAAGCACTCCCCCCAAAGAGAAGGGAAAGGGAACTTCCATCTCATTCCCTTAGGAAAGCAGCAAATTAATTACCTAGGGAAAAGGAGAAACCTATAAGACTAACTTGGAACTAATATATAAATATGACTTGGAAATTTGGAGACTAAAAGTGTTTTCTAAGACTTTTTTTTAAAAAGGCTGGAAAAGCTTATAAGTTTTGGTTTTAAAAACTGAAAAAAGGCATTGATGACATCTAGTGGTGAATGTATGGCACTACAATTTATTTTTGCCTAAAGCAGTGATTCTCAACCTGTGGGTCGGGACCCCATTTGGGGTCGAACGACCATTTCACGGGGGTCGCCAAACAAGGCTGTCCGCCATTTTTTCCCCTTTTCTTTGGCCACGCCCCTGGCACCCGGTGATGTATAAGTGGTTGGGGGTCACCACAACATGGGGAACTGTATTATGGGGTCACGGCATTAGAAAGGTTGAGAACCACTGGCCTAAAGCAACCTGGCTTGAAGCCCAGAGTGAGATAAGACTTTGGCTGGCCTTGAAGCTCTAACTTTTGAGATTTGCAGCTGAGAAAATGGAACAGGCCTGGGACTGCTTATCTGTGTGGTAGAGACAATAATATCATTTTAAAATTGGCCTGTCTGAACTATGAACAAAAATACTGACTTCTAGAACTGTATTGTGGATCTATTCTCCTGAAGAAGACATATATACTATTGCCGGATATGATGGAACACTTTGGAACACTTTGGATTATAAATCTTGATTTTTAAACAACTTGTAATGGTTCTTTTTTTCTCCCTGGACAGAAAAATTTGAACTTTACTTATATCTGCTTAGGGGAGGTTTAAGAATGGCTAGTTGGTTAGATAAACTCATAAAGACTACTTACAAAATATAAAATGGATGTTTCCTACTTAATTTTAAATGATGAAAAACCATCTTTAACACTTATCTCCAGAAGCCTCAGTTTGCCATATTACCAAGAAAATACTGATGAATCACAGAAATAAATTCTCTCCATGTTGAAATCAATACAAGAAACAATTGCTTTAGCTCATGATGAGTTTAAAAGAAACACAAAGGAGATAAAAGAACATTTTTTTAATTTTAATCTACAAATCCAGAAAATAAATAGAGAGAAGGAACCAGCAACTCAGAAAACAGAAGGAAAAATAGAAAATGCTGACACAAACATTGGGGATCTGAAGGAAGAAAACTGTGACCAGACTCAGATAAATGAAGATTTAGAAGACACAATGAGAATATTGGAAATGGAGCAGAAATTCTACAAATCAAAGTCTCAGAACTTACTGGAGGATACGGAAGGAGAGATGATGGAATGGAAGAGAAAGCTGTCAATAGAACTGTGGGGAATTGGAGAAGGAGAGAGGCTGTTTAATGAATATCAGTGGGCTGGTTCTGCCCAAAATACCTTAACGAAATTGATTCTCTTGACTCAAATAATATATACAAAAATAGAGGAAGAACTATTTGATTATCCAAATGTACTGACTAGGAAAGTTAGTTGGCAAAGGAAGAAAGCTAGAGTAAGGCTGAAAGAAACAGAAGCTTTGACCTGTTAAAGGGGATGTTACATTATCAGTTTGATGTTTGAATATGGTTAAGAATAGATTGTTAGAAATAGAAGTATTATTATAATTAGATAGATAGGATTTGAAATCAGAATATCATATCTTGGTATAAAAAGGAAAAGAAGAATATGTTAAGAATTTTGAATAGGGAAAACTTTTGGTTACCCAAATATAACTTGTTTTGAAATTATAAATGATTGGGATATTTTGAACATGGACGGGGATTTAAAATTGTAAAAAGTGAAAATAGGATTTAGACTGAATAATTGGATATTGAATGCAAATGCAATTAAGATATGTTTTGGTTAGAAAAGCTATTTTAAACTGATATTATTGACATTTTTAGAAAAATATAAATATCAATAGGCAATTCTATAATTACTTACAATAAAAAGAATTGTATTTCTTAGTGTGGAAAAATGTTTATTACTAGAAGGGAATTAGAACTGAAAAAAGCAAAAATAGGATATAGATTGAATAAATGGATAATGAATGTAAATGCAATTAAGATATGCTTTGGTTAAAAGATATTTTAAACTGACATTATTAATACCTTTAGAAAAATATAACAAATGTTAATAGGCAATTGTATATTTATTTATAACAATAAGAATTTTATTTGCTTAGTGTGGAAAAATGTCTATTACCAGATGAAGAGAGGATGTATTGGAGGGTGTAACATTGGATTAAGTATGAAGAAGCTTACATGTACCACGAAATTACTAATGGATCCAGTCATCACGTTGTTTAATTAGGCACTTGATTGTAAAAATAGAAAATCAATTATATATATATTACAAACCTTTAAAATCATGGAATCAGATTAGAAGGGCCATTGTTGAAATATTTATCCGTTTACAATACAGTTTGATAGGAGAATATAGGAGAAAGATGTTTGAATGTTTTTTTTTTCCTTTCACTCCAGTCTGTTCAGATTTTTTTTTTTTCCAGTTGTGGCTGCCAAACAAAAATCTGCAAAACTCAAAGAATTAACTGGAACTAGGGTTTCCTATCAGTATTTATACTTTTAAACTCTTATACCTGTTTAGCAGTATGTGTATCATTATATACAGTTTGAGTCTGATTGCTTTTTTCACAGTTGGTTTTCCTTGAGGAGATAGATATTAGCTCTACCAGCTTATTAATAGTTGGTGATAATGTAGTAGACCCTTTTCTTGCTTAGAGGAAAGTCAGAAAAAGAATACATAGGCGAAAAAGAAATTAAATGGCAAGTTATTGTTACATTTTAAAACACGTTAATCTGGTCTAGATAAGTTAAAACTTTATATAACCAATATGTCTTCACTTCTAAGAAATGAATGGGTGGAGACAATGGAGAATTAGACAAGGCAGTTCCAGCTGGCTGTTGTTGGAAATGTTCTCCCACTCTTTCAATCTGGATTCTAAAATGAACAAAATAATAGAGTTCTATATCTATCTGTCAAGCAAACCATACGCAGAACTTATGATGTGTCTTTATTTTACACAAGGTATTTGAAGCAGTGATTGCTTGGGTTAACTATGACAAAGATGTGAGGCAAGAACTCATGGCACGTCTGATGGAACATGTTCGATTACCTTTGCTGTCAAAAGAATATTTGGTCCAGGTAATTAACTGGAGGCATTTCATTCGTGGTCTTGTTATACTGCAAAATAAAAGCTTGTGTAATTGGGTAAACATAACAAAGGGTCTAGGCCAACTTGCTGCAACCAACCCCCACCACAAGACAGTTCAATTGTTGTATTAATTGTTTCATACTTTTACTATTGTTGACCGCATTTTTGTCAAAATTATTGTAACTCTTGTATTTCTGTATTGACTTTATTTATTTTATTATTATTATTTTATTGATTTTCCAGTTTTACATTTAAATATTTGAAAAGCAACGAACAAATTTTGCATTCGTATATCTGGGCTGACACCCCATTCTTTTCTGCAACCTCTTATTTCATCAGTAGCTGTAAGAGTAGTTTGGTAAATTTCTTTCAGCATAGACAAAATTTGTTCCTGATCTTCCTCCATGTTCTCTTAGTAATGTATTAGAGTAAAAACTTTACAGTCAGAGAGTGTAAAAAAAAATTTTTTTTCAGTGAGTATGGAACACAGCTGGGCTTCACAGCTGATAAGTGTGTTAGCCAAGTCTCTTTTAAACAAAACAGATTGTAGACAATAACAAATTGTAATATCAGGATTAGCCACAAGATGGCGCCCCTATATTTAAAATTTCCCAAAGTATTAATCCTTTCGGTTCTACTTCTTTTTTATAATTAAAAACTCAGATCTTCAATAAGAATAGAAAGTCTTTTTAGTCCACAAACTTTAAAAAGTCTTTTAGTTCACAAACTTTAAAATAAGATCAAGTTATTCTTGCAACGTTTTTAAGCTCCCCTTGATAGTCACTCGCCGCTGTTTTTAGAGGGAGGGGTAAAATATCCCTTCCCTCTCCACAGGGGGGGAAGTCCTTAAGCAGCGTATGTAGGAAACAAAAGTAATTAGGGTTTAAGAGAAGTAAATCTCACCCAGTCTCTTCTGCACTGCTTTAAAGTTGCCTGATGGTAAGTGTGACTTCGGCTGTCTGCAGCCTAGTGATGAGCCATATTTCTATGGCTGGTCTTTTGTCTGCTGGTTTGGAGGGCTGCCCCAGATCAAACGGAAGAGCTGCCGCCCTTCCGCGATCACAGGGATCCCCTCTTTGCTGGTCGCCCCTACAGGGCAACTTTCGACCCTTTCCAGGGTCCCCCAGAGAAACAAAACTGGATGTGGAAGACAAAGCAGGCCTTCCAAACATCCATGGCGACTGCCTGAGGAAACCGGAAGTCAACTTTACTTATTTTATTATTATTGGCCATAGTTCCATCGAAAATTTAACTTTTATTTGTTGAATTGTCCCGTGGCAAGTTGTCTTGTGGCAAGTTGGCTGCAGCAAGTTGGCCACGATTTCGGATAAAAAAATCCCCCAAATTGATGCTTTCTGTAAAAGTTGGATCAGTCTTTATAATCATACTAGGCAATTTATGCTTTGTTGGGTCATTGTTTCGTAGATATCTCCTTGCCTAAACAGAGAAGCAAAATGACAATACATGGGGGGGGGGGAAATCAGGGAGAGGAGAGCAACTTCCAATTCCTATTGGCTTCCCCCTTTAATTTCTTTGTGGGAAGTTGACAATGAGTGTTGGAAGTCAATCAATCCTCCCTCCCTCCTTTCCTCCACTGTCATTTCTTCCTTCCTTCCCTCCCTCCTCTTCCTTTTTTCCTCTCTTCCAATGCAAGACCATTCATATATACAACTGCTGGGGAAAAAAGTTTTGAGTTCCTGTACAAAGACGGGATATGGATAAATGTGCAGGTTTGGGTGGCAGATAAAGGGCAAGTAAAGAGTGAAAATATCCAGGCCTTTCTGACACAGTGAGTCAATTCCTTGCTGCTGGTGTTACAGAAGTGTGCTCTTAGGTTCAGCTTATGGTCACTCACTTAGACACTCACAAGCCTGGAAAATTGCCACACTCAATCCCAAATCAACTGAACACTGAGGCACAAACGGTTCTTTAAAGTACACAGAGACCCAGTGAATTTAAAATAACAGCAAACTTTTACTGATATATTTTTGCTTTTACACATACACATACACAAACTCATCCACACTTACCCAGCACCCACTACTAGGCTGCCAGGCACTAGCCAGAGGGATGGAAACTGCCAAGTCTGGGATCCAAAATGACTCAAAGACTGGGCAGACTTCAGGACTTCTTTTTATCCCCAAGAATTGGTGGGGAGGGGCTTCCCATGCAGGCCCAACTCCTTTGCTGATGAGACTTGGGGAGGGGCTTGCCCTGTGCTCAGACCCAACTTTTGTCCTTTTGTTCCCTTAATGACTTGACTCCTTTCCCTGAGGGAGCTTTTCCTGGCTTTTGTCCACCCTGCTTACATGCCTTCGCCACTTTTAGGTGTGGTGGCTTTGGCCTAATCTCACACTGGGTAGGAGAGGGAGTGAAGGATTGCGAGAGTGTCAGGGAAACTGTTACAGAATGATCAAAATGACCACCATGTGACTGCAACATCAGCCCAACCATAGCAGCAATTTGAAGAAGCCACAACTTCCCCAAATTTCATTCCCTCTAGATTGGATTTTGGATTTGCATGTTAATCCATTTGAGTTATCTTAGTTCAAATATTGTCGCCCTATGATGCATCCTCACCCAGTAATTGGTAGTGACAATGAGAGTTTTTAGTAGTATTGTATATAGATTGGGCTTCTAGGTTTGAGGGTTATATGACCTAAGGGTACCATGAATGGGATAGCTAAATTATATAAGTATAAAGCTATAAAAATTATAAAGTAAATTTTATAAACAAATAAATAAAAATAAAGTCTGAGTCAAAGTTCCCCAATCTAGACAACCTCAGACATACAAACTTCAGCTTTCAGAAATCTTTGGTCTCTCAAGATGAGAATTCTGGAAACTGAAGTCTGCACAGCTAGAAGTTGCCCAGGCTGAAAAACACTGAACAATATCAATAAAAAATATTTATTATTCTTTTAGAAGAATACTTGAAAGAGTACTTCACAAAAAAGATACATAGATTAGATTGTCATTATCTCTGTTTTTGAACTGGTTTGTTTTCATTTTAGCAAAAATTCTTGGAAAAAGAGTTATTTTAAAGTTCTCACTGAACCAATTCAAAACGAATAACTACATAAAAACTAAATTCATGCAAATTAGTCAGTGTGTTCTTTCTTGCTAAGACTGCATCACTATGGCTAATTCACAGAGAGTTGAAGAAGAGATACTTGTTAAAAATAGCAATGCATGTAAAGATTACCTAATTGAAGCAATGAAGTACCATTTGTTGCCACTTGAGCAAAGAGCTTTGATGAAGTCCATACGAACAAGGTTAAGAACACCTTCCTGTCTTCCAAAGGTAAGCATGTGACTGATAATGTACTTCCTTTTTGAATTGTCTTGCACTATATGAAAAAGTCGTGGACTCTTTTATATATATATATATATATATATATGTAAAATTGGAAGTGTCTTGGCGACGTTTCGACGAAGTCCCATTCGTCATCTTCAGGCTGATGCTTTCAGCTTCGTGCTTTGAGCAGCAATGTGTGGTCGTAGCTGTTTATTCCTTTTAACTGCCAGTGGGGGTATGAACTGATTGGGTGGGAGCTTGGCTGTGTTCTGATTGGGTGGAGGTGTGTTCTGAATGGTTAGGGGCTTGGCTGTGCTCTGATTGGCTGGGGGAGTGTTCTGTTTCGTTGTGCTCAGGTTAGTCTGAGTTGCAGAGGGGTTTAAGATTTTGGGCTGCCTTGCTATTTTCTGGCTTCGCGTTCGTGGTCGTGTCTCCTCTTCATGGAGGGTGTCAGTTTGCTTCATGTATGGATTGGAGGGGTTTAAAGTGGCTAATGATGCAGCTGTGGTCTGGCTTCTGGTTTGTGGTCGTGCCTCGTCATCGGTGTGGTTTGGGTTTGTTTTTTGCGTGGATGTGTGGTGGTGACATCCTGTGTGGTTTTTGTGAGTGTGGGTCTGGTATCATTTTTTGTGTTAGGGAGTTGTTTGTCAATAAGGGCGGGTTTCCAAATGGCTGGTAGGCGGGAGGTATCATCTCGCTTGTTCATGCTGTGTGGGCGTTTTTCTATCTCGATGGCTTCTCTGATTATTCTGTTATTAAAATGTTCACTTTTGGCAATGGTTCTGGTATTTTTAAAGTCAATTTCATGTCCTGTGGCTTTAAGGTGTTGGACCAGGGAAGATGTTGGTTCCTCTTTTTTGACTGAGTTCTTATAACAGAATAATCAGAGAAGCCAAACCAAATAGAACACTCCCCCAGCCAATCAGAGCACAGCCAAGCCCCTAACCATTCAGAACACACCTCCACCCAATCAGAACACAGCCAAGCTCCCACCCAATCAGTTCATACCCCCACTGGCAGTTAAAAGGAATAAACAGCTAAGACCACACATTGCTGCTCAAAGCACGAAGCCGAAAGCACCAGCCTGAAGATGACGAATGAGACTTCGTCGAAATGTCGCCAAGACACTTCCAATTTGACGCAGGAGAAAACCTGAATAACCAAAGATCTACATATATATGGAATAATTGAAATTAAATACAGAATTATAGAGTTGGAAGAGGTCAATGGGTCAATAAGTCAAATTTCCTGTTCAATTAAACCATACTTAAATCTGTCTAGTAAAATTAATAAAGCAGCCAGAGAGTCTTCTCAGTATTCACCTGTATAGAAAATGTTATTGAGTTGTGTCTACATTCTTGTTAACCTAGGACAGGGGTAGGCAACCCAAAACACTCAAAGAGCCACTTGCACCCGTTTCCCACCAAAAACAAATCACTGGGAGCCGCAAAACCCTTTGGATATCTAAAATGAAGCTAACACTGCATATATCCTTTTTTACCTTTATTATGAGAGAGAGAGAGAGAGTATAATAACGGTAAGAAGGATATATGCAGTATTATCTTCATTTTAGACGTCAGAAGGGTCTGTGTGTGTGTGTGTGTGTGTGTGTGTGTCTTTCTCTCCCTCTCTCTCCCCCCCTCTCCCTCTCTCCGATCTTCTGCTTACCTGGCAAGTTGGCTTCAAGCTGTTCTCCAACAAACTCGGGTAGGCAAACCTCGGCTCTTTTATGACTCATGGACTTCAACTCCCAGAATTCCTGAGTCAGTGTAGCTGGGCTAGCTAGCTCTCTCTTGCCCTTCCTGTTTCCTGCTTCCTGCAGAGAGGCAGCAAAGGGAGGAGCTCAGCCCAATGAGCTTTTCAGTCCACTCTCTTTTACACACAAACACACATACACACAGAGAGAGAGAGAGAGAGAGGGAGGGAGGGAGGGAGGGGAAGAGAGAGAGAGAGAGAGAAGCAGGGAAGTGCAATTGCCCTCTCTGTCTCTGTCACTCTCTGCAAATGGCAGAGGAGGCTGGGAGCCGGAGGGGAAGGCTCAAAGAGCCACATGTGGCTCCGGAGCCGCAGGTTGCCAACCTGTGACCTAGGACTTTATCTTCTATTTAAGAAAATTTGAAAGCTATTTAAATACAGATTTAAATAGACTTATAATTCATAAAGAAATGACTCTCTTTACTAACAACACTGCTATGTAGGAAAAGGAAAATACCCTCTCTGTTTATCATTAATGGGAATTTTTGGGGTATAGCATGTCTTTTTTTTTTCAGGGATAAGTCAACAAAGGCTGTAGCATATTCATATTGGCAGGGCTTTCCTTGAACCTTTTGAACCCATCCTGAATAATGCCACTGCGAGAAATGAAATAACTGCAGATAGGATTTTTTTTGTTCATTGTCAGAGACTGTTTGGGTCCCCCCCCCAATTTAATGAGTATCTAAATTTATGATGTTGCTTCTGTTAAAGGTGATGGTAGTGGTAGGAGGGCAAGCACCAAAGGCTATCCGCAGTGTGGAGTGTTATGATTTTAAAGAACAGCGATGGCACCAAGTTGCTGAACTGCCTTCCAGAAGATGCCGGGCAGGTACCAAAACACTTTAAATTGATGCTTCCTGCATGCAAGCTTCAATCTATGTCAGCTATTTCCTTTTTACTTATATAATACAATGTTTTGTTGTTTTTTTTTATTGAAAATTTTTAAAATTTTACAAAAAAAATTTCCCTTCCCCAGACCCTCCCAACCCACCCCAGCCCTCCCCCAACCTTCCCAGAGCTGAATACAGGCTTAATTAAAATTTAAAAGAAAAGTTTTAAACACAAATAAATCATATACAAATTTGATTACAATAATTAAACAAATTATAAAATACTTTAACACCCATATTTAGAAAACAAAAAGAGAAAAAGAAAAAAACAAAAAGGAGAAAAAAAGAAAAAAAATCTTAAACTTTAAATATAAATTATTCAAAAACTAAGTAATATTTTTTATATCATATTTATATTGTATAAAATTTATCCATCTTTTCCATACCAAGAGGTACTTCTCTTGCGATTGATTTTTCAAGAAAGCCGAAATCTTTGCCATTTCCACTAAGTAGGAAACTTTAAGAAACCATTCTTGCAAAGTAGGCAAAGATTCCTTCTTCCAACATTGCCCTACTAACAACCTAGCCGCTGTAATTAAATTTAACATTAATATAGTTTCTCTACTGTCACAATCAGAAACAATACCCAGCAAAAACAATTGTGGAGTAAATTTTATCTTTCTTTTAAAAATTCTTTGAATATTCCACCATATCTTAATCCAAAAAGCTTTTATATTTTTACATGACCACCAAATATGATAATAAGTAGCATCCAAGCAACCACATCTCCAACATTTAGGCTGCAAGTTTGGATACATACGAGACATTTTTTGTGGATCAAGGTGCCATCTATAAAACATTTTATAAAAGTTTTCCCGTAAGTTTTGGGCTTGTGTGAATTTAACATTCCTCACCCAAATAGTCTCCCAAGTATCTAATGGAACGATTCATCAAAGTTTTGTGCCCATTTAACCATACAATCTTTAACTAGTTCTGCTTCTGAATCCAATTGCACTAACACCCCATAAATTCTTTTAATATGGGTTCGTCTTTGATCTTTTATTTGTTTTAACAAATTCTCATCCTCTCTGAGCAAACCCACATTGCAATCTATCTTCCACCTTTCCAATAGTTGTCTGTACTGAAACCATGAATAAATAATATTTTCTTGTATTAAGTCTTCCATAGATTTTAGTTGCCAATTTTTGCCATCCCATCTAAGTAATTGTGTATAAGAAATACTATCCATCTTAACTCCTCTCCTTATCCCTTCTATCGCATGCCATGGGATAGCCCATAATGGAATTCTAGAATCACTTCTATAATATTTTTCCCAAACCCAAAGTAAAGAAATTCTTAAAATGTGAGACTTAAAAACCCTGTCAACCTTTTTATTAAAAGTTAAATAGGCATGCCATCCAAAAAGTAAATCCCATCCCTCCAGGAGGAGTACATCTACATTTGTTAAGTTAACCCAATCACTAATTAATATTAACACCACAGCATCATAATACAATTTCAGGTTCGGTACCTTGAGTCCACCTCTCTCACGAATATCTTGTATAATTTTAAGTTTTACTCTTGGTTTTTTCCCTGCCCAAATAAATTTATTGATACCTTTCTGCCATTCATTTAAGTTAGCCTCATTCTTTAAGATAGGTATCATTTGAAATAAAAAAAGAAACTTTGGCAAAACATTCATTTTAATCGCTGCAATTCTCCCCAATAGGGATAATTGCAGCTTCTTCCAATTTTCCAAATCCTTTTGTATTTTAATCCACAGCCTTTCATAATTATTTTTGTACAATTTTGCATTGGAAGCAGATAAAATAACCCCCAGATATTTTACCTTATTAACAACCTCAAAATCTGTCAGCCTAACTAAAGTCTCCTTATCCAAATTGGTCATGTTTTTAGGCAATATTTTAGTATAATACAATGTTTTTATCAATTAGACAATTGACCATATCAAACACGAGCATCGGTCACAGTAAAATGCAAAAAAAAAAATGAGATATGATACAGTGAAATGAGATAAAATAGCTATAATGAAATAATATAGAATAAAATATAGTAGGCAATAAAGTGAAGGTAAAAGAATATGATCAGAAAGTATAAAGTAAAATGGAAGAAGAATGTCAGAGCATGCACACTCTTATTGCACTGAGCTAACCTAGGAGCAAACACAGTAAACAGTGGTTTGTATTAAATGGTGGTTTATCTTACACGATGTACAATATCACACCAGGAACAATATACATACACGTGTTAATACAGCAGGTTCCAACACGCCACAGCAGTTACAGCAGGAAACAAGAGAGACAACACAGCAGCAGAGCCTTCCCTTTTATACAAAGGCTCTTAAAGGGACATAGATGTAATGCTGAGATTCTCATCATTACATCATACATCTCACATTATACAAGCTGGTTAGCTGTTAAATTATTACCTTGACAAAGAAGAAATGCTATTTCTTTTTTAAAAAAATATGGCCTGGTATTCATGATATATGAAAAGACTCTCATACTATCAGATTTTAGAAAGTAATTTATAGACATCAACATCTTGGAACAGGTGACGAGGTGGACACTTTTTTTTTCCAGGAGTTGTATACATGAATGGTCTTGTCTTTGCTGTTGGTGGCTTCAATGGCTCCTTGAGAGTTCGTACTGTGGATTCTTATGATCCAGTAAAAGACCAGTGGACAAGCATTGCTAGCATGCAAGACAGAAGAAGCACTTTGGGCGCTGCTGTATTAAACGGGCTTCTATATGCTGTAGGAGGTTTTGATGGGAGTACAGGTATATAATTTTATACAGTGACATCACTATACAGCCCTTCTTTGTATAAGACATCTAGATTGTGGAGTGTTTTTGTTGCAATCATTCTCACTATCTCTCTCCCTCCCCCCCCAAAACATATTTCAGCATCTTTTTTCTTAAATTCAAAACGGAAAACTCCATTATCAAACATATTGAAATGCTAAATGGAAATAATTAGAAGTAGGATATTTAGAAACCTTTTGAAAGTTTCTTTTCTAGAGTATATCTTCTCATGGGTCTCTTTTCATCTGAAGAATATTGGAGCCGAATCTGAGGGGAGGGACATGCAGGCATGCATACACACACTTATGTGTGCTATTTCAGCAGGTGGCATTACCAGTTGACTTAGTTTGGGCTTCAGGCGAAGCCAGATTGGATCTGGTTTAAAACTTGGATGGAAGATCATCGGAATTCCAGGACTGCAGGCTAAATTGGGAAGTCAAAAAAGTCATCCTAAAGAAAGCAGTGGTAAACCAGTGTTGTTGCATAGATACGTCTATGAAGTCATCAGAAGGAAAAAACTGCCCAAAGGGACTTTTATTTATGAAGAGTATTTAACCAGCTTATTTAGCCAGTTATCTTTAATGGTAGCAAAATGGTATGCCTTTATATGCTTATTATTCACTGTAAAAAACAAACAAATCTCAAATTCAGTAATACTTCATTTTGATTAGGTTTCTTTATGCTTTATTACAGGTTTATCCTCAGTAGAAGCTTATAATATGAAGACTGATGAATGGTATCATGTAACTCCAATGAACACAAGGAGAAGTAGTGTTGGAGTAGGTGTAATTGGAGGTAAATTTTCTTAATCTGAGCTGACTTTTCTCTCTTCATGACTCAACCTTTAAGACAGCTAATCCTAAAGGCCCTGCTTATTCAAAGAAAACATACCTTCTAAAGAATATTGAGAATGGTACGAAGGCAGAGAGGAACTTTATTCTAAATGGAAGGCCTAGCAATGCTGCTTCACTGTTCTGCTCTACTTTTTCATCCTTCTTTCCTATCCTTTTTTGTGCTGCGGCTCTGACAGTATTTTCTTGGCTTATTCTAGAAAATAAAATTATTCCTTTTATGAAATGGCTAGTCAGATAAAAGGCTTTATTGAAAAAAAATTCTAAAAAGATTTGCTACTGTGAAATGTGATAATGATTTACATTATAAATATTCCTTCTTCATTGAATGAACAGCCTAATTAGGATATTTATTTTTATCCATAAAATATTTGATTCATAAAATAGGGAAGTGGGTTTATAAAATGAACAGAATAATATATAATTTAAATCATCTTTCGAAAGCCATTAGAACAACACAATACTTTTTCTATTTTTTAAAAAAATGAATAAATGCTGTACTTGTAATTTTCAAAATGTTTACAGCTAAATTATTAACTTAAAAAGAGTACATTTGTCCTTACAACATAAAGAAGCACTTACTGTCTTCAAGAGTATAGCATGTAAACTGGAAGAAACAAGTTTATTAATACAAAATAGTGTTAATTCTCTAACAGCTCCTATGAAAATGCCATATATATATATATATATATATATATATATATATATATATATATATATATAGGAGCTGTTAGAGAATTAACACTATTTTGTATTAACATACTTGTTAATAATTAACACTATTTTGTATTAACAATCCTATAATTATTATAATTGTATATTAACATACAATAGCAATATTCATATATATATATATATATATATATATATATATATATATATATATATATGAATATTGCTATTGTATGTTAATATACAATTATAATAATTATAGGATTGTTTAGCAATAAAGCTTAACCATTTTCTATATTTGTCTGTTAAAAAGGGAAAAAACCAGAAATTGGACTTTTCTTCTTCTTGAAATTGAAGGAGGGATACAAGAGAAATAAAGTCTATGTTTTGATTCCAGAACACTACCTGAGATACCACATCCCACTTGTTGAAGGATAAAGGCATGGGATAATTTCTATATTCTCGGAGCAATGTTTTTCAGCCTTAACAACTTTAAGATGTGTGAACTTCAACTCTCAGAATTCCCTAGCCAGTATTCTGGGAGTTGATATCAAGACATCTTAAAGTTGCCAAAATTGAAAAGCACTGTTGGAATATGTGGGCTTTTGTTACCCGTTTATTACAGAGAGGAATCCCATTTTTCTTACATGCTTTCCATCATGCCACCATAACTGGACCAATGTTTTCAGTTGCAATTTGAGGACTGGATAATCTGTGTATCACTAAAACTCTCCTGTCTGTTTGATTGTAATCTTAAATTGGACAAAATTAGAAGGTGTAAAGCAACAATTATTGAACCAAAGTAATTCAACTTAAAGGGTGTTGGGACCCATGACTCCTGTGAGAATGAAATTTGGGGAAGTTGTTGCCACTTCAGCACTACTGCTCTGCTGCTGTTCCGTGTTACTGTGGTCATCATGTGATCCTCATTTTCAATGTTCCCTGATAGCTTTCCAAAAGTAGATGGGGAAGCCAAAAGGAACTGATACAATCGCTGATGCTTCTTGCCATCTTCCCACTAGCAAAGCTTGCAGGGAGAAAATAAATGGAGCACCCAGCAAGGAAGGTTGATTAAAACTGAAATCAGGGTGATTTAATTAAGGTTCATACCTTATTATTTGATCATAAATGCTTTGCCCAAGCCATCTTCCCACTAGCAAAGCTTGCAGGGAGAAAATAAATGGAGCACCCAGCAAGGAAGGTTGATTAAAACTGAAATCAGGGTGATTTAATTAAGGTTCATACCTTATTATTTGATCATAAATGCTTTGCCCAAGCCATCTTCCCACTAGCAAAGCTTGCAGGGAGAAAATAAATGGAGCACCCAGCAAGGAAGGTTGATTAAAACTGAAATCAGGGTGATTTAATTAAGGTTCATACCTTATTATTTGATCATAAATGCTTTGCTCAAGCTGGGAGCAGACTTTTCTGGTGAAGTTTCATTTTATGTTAGGGATCTCTGGCTATTGTGAAGAATTTTGAGATGGAACTAAACCAATTTGAACTCTCTGGAGCACAGAGGTTTCCAACATGAGATACAAATTTGATATCTATCTGCTCAGTAGAGCTAGAAGGAGTTATTAATTTATTTTATTAATCAAATTTATAGAGCCTCCCAACTCATTCAGGGAGACTAGATTCATGCTTGGGTCTAGATTCCTTAACTGGATTTGTTCACCTAGAGCAGTGGTTCTCAACCTTTCTAATGCCGTGACCCCATAATACAGTTCCCCATGTTGTGGTGACCCCCCAAGTGGGTGTGGCCACCAATAAGAGGGAGTAGGACAGCTAGGGAAAAGGGAAAAAAATGGCGGACACCATGGTTTGGCGACCCCCATGAAATGGTCGTTTGACCCCAAATGGGGTCCCGACCCACAGGTTGAGAACCACTGACCTAGAGTGATTGGAACTGTTTCATTACAACTTTCTGCAAAGTTAATTAGATAGAAAATATATTGTATCTGTTTTCATTAAGATTAATTACATGAGATCACATTCTGTATCCATGTCTTCTCTTTGAGATCCTGAATTCCTTTTAATTGGCAGAGTGATAAATAAAGTATGTGATTGTCTTTCCTTTTCCACTTTATCTAAGTCATTTCATTCTGAGGCATATTATACAAACATATGGCTTGTACATCGAACATCTTCATCCTCATCTTGCTTTTCTTCCTCTGTATGTGGGGATATAAGGTTTAAGGAGTCTTTTGTCTCTTGAGATTTTTAATCTGTTTGTAGTACGACTAATAATTAAAGAAGTTAAAACTTCTGGTTATAGAATGTCAACAATGTTCAGCTGTTCGGTTGCTTTAAGTGTTTTCAAGATCCCAGAACTGCTTCTATGCCTCTTTTTGCCCATAGGCTGAAGCAGAGAAAATTATTTTAAGAATGATCTTCTTTCTTTACTCTGATAAATAATTTCTGAAGGCTAAGGTAACGTATTGATGGGAAAGAGGGAGCCTTACATTCTCCTTGCTGACTTATCTCAAAATTTGTCACGGCCACATCAGTAGTTTCTGCCGCTGCCTGGATATAGAAAGCAGCTAAAAAACAGGTTTGGTATACTTTGTCCTTTTGAAATGTATTTTCTCTAGGTCATGTTATGAAAATCAGTCAGTTTTTTCTTCTGTTTTATAAGTCAGTCATGGAGAATTTCCCTGTCTGTCAGACAGGCATGCACTTTACGAAATGCCTGAGACCAGGATACAACCTAAAACTCAACCAAGGCTGAGTGTTGGCTGACCCAATGTTTCAGCTACAATTGAAAGTGCTGGTAATAATCTATAAACTCTTTAATGACTTTGGATCTGGGTATTTACAAGATCAGAATCCTTTCTATTAACATTTGGAAGCTTGTAAAGTCCTCTTTGTTGGATGAGCATTCAGGGATTAAATAAGCAATCAAGTATGCATCTGAGATGTTTATGCTTTAATTGTAAGCTGTCGAGAGTCATGAATATGAGATGGGTGGCTTTATAATTGAAGGAAGGAAGGAATATTTGGATATATGGAAATATTTGGATATATGGATATTTATTTTGTAGGTATTATTGTTTACATAACTTTTGGAATACAGAGAATCCTTCAATTAAAGCAGTATAAAAGCACCCAATATAAATAGATATATAAATAAATAGCTTGCTTTTTATCCCTAAACCTTTTACTAGGTTCCACTCTCCCTATTGTCTGGAAGGGGTGGTACATCAGTTTAATCTAGATGATGAAAGCTCAAACCTGTGTGCAAATCAAAATTGTCTACAGCAGCAGTTCTCAATCTGTGGGTCGTGACCGCTTTGGGGGTTGCACGACCATTTCACAGGGGTCATCTAAGACCATCGGAAAACACATATTTCCAATGGTCTTAGGAACCGAGATGCTGCCAAAGCTGCCGCCGCCACCTCAGGAACATGCAGTGGACGAGCCAAGGAAAGGAACTGAATGAGGAGAGGGGGCGTGCCTGCCTGCCTGTTTGTGTGTGCATTTGTGTAGAGTCACTATTTTCAACTCCCAATATTACGAAGAAAAAAAAAGATTGATGTGAATAAAATGTGGCGGAAGACAAATGCTGTGTGTGTGTGTGCACGCGCGCGGTGTTAATCATATTCTTTCCCTCGTCATGCGCCTTGAGCCGCAACGCCAATAACCATCTGCTCTCAGTTTGTGACGAGTGGGGCTCTTCTCTCTTTTTCCATCCCTGCTTCGAGTGAAACATTGAAAACCGTACGACACTGAGAGGCACGTGTCCCGCTGGGCAAGGCTCAGGGGAAGCGCCGGGATCAGCGCCCCTTTCTGCCTGATCGATGCTTCTCTGAGGCCGGGAGAGCTGAGCCCCTTTCCGCCTGATCAGTGTTTCTCCGAGGCCTGGAGAGCTCAGGAGAAGCGTCAGGATCAGCGCCCCTTTCCGCCTGATCAGTGCTTCTCTGAGGCCGGGAGAGCTCGGACCCTTTCCACCTGATCAGTGCTTCTCCAAGGCCCGGAGAGCTCAGGGGAAGCGTCAGGATCAGCGCCCCTTTCTGCCTGATCGGTGCTTCTCCTGGATTGGGAGAGCTCAGGGGAAGCGCCAAGATCAGCGCCTCTTTCCACCTGATTGGCGCTTCTCCGAGGCCAGTTGAAGCATTAGGATCAGCTCCCCTTTCCGCCTGATCGGTGCTTCTCTGAGGCCGGGAGAGCTCGGCCCCTTTCCGCCTGATTGGCGCTTCTTCGAGGCCAGGAGCGCTCAGGGGAAGTGCCGGGATCAGCGCCCCTTTCTGCCTGATCGGTGCTTCTCCGAGGCCGGGAGAGGTCGGCCCCTTTCTGCCTGATTGGCACTCCTCTGAGTCTTGGAGAGCTCAGGGGAAGCACCAGGATCAGCTCCCCTTTCTGCCTGATTGGCGCTTCTTCCACAGCTGATCCTGGTGCGTCTCCTGAGCCCCAAAGAAGCACCAATCTCCTGGAAAGCGGCACTGATCCCGGTGCATCTGCTGAGCCCTGAAGAAGCGCCTATCACCTGGAAAACAACATTGATCAGGGCCAGCGCACTCACACACACAGAAACACATGCGAGCAGTTACAGCTGAAGGCGTTTCAGCCTTCAACTATGACTCCCAGTCCTCTGGCGCCTCATTGGCTCAGGCCAGCCGTTCCATTCCACGATTGGCTGGCTCCGTCAACGCGTCCCTCCCTTGCAGAAAGGGTTTGGCTCTTCATGCCGGCTTGCCCCCTTGCGGGGCTCCTGATACTGTAGGCCCCGCTAGCCGGGAAGGCGTACCGGAGTCCCGGCTGCTGGTAAGGTGATTGACCCACTCCTCTCCCATTGCCCACTCTGCCTGGCTCGAGCCTCGCTTGGTGCTTCCAAAGCTGGCCACTTCAAAGTCATACGGGCAGCCCTCGGCTTCTCCCCTCCCCTCCGCGCCTCCAAATCAATCCCCAATTGGAGAGAGAGAGGGAGGGAGGAAGGGAAAGAAGAAGAGAGGGAGGGAGAAAGAGGGAGAGAGAGAGAGGGAGGGAGAGAAAGAGGAAGAGAGGGAGAGAGAAATACAGAGAGGGAGAGAAAGGGAAAGAAAGGGAGAGAGAAAGAGGGAGAGAAAGAGGGAAAGAGAGAGAGAGGGAGAGAAAGAAAGGGAGAGAGAAGGGCAGAGAGAAAGAAAGGGAGAGAGAGAAAGAAAGAGAGAGAAATAGAAGGGGAGAGAAAGGGAGAGAGGGAGAGAAAGAAAGAAAGAGGGAGATAGAGAGGGAGAGAGAAAGAGGAAGAGAGAGATTAAATTAGTAATATGGTTGTTAAGTGAATCTGATTTCCCAACTAACTTTGCTTGTCAGAAGGTTGAAAAATGGTCATAAGTCATTTTTTTCAGTGCCGTTGTAACTTTGAACAGTCATTAAGCAAACTGTTGTAAGTCAAGGACTACCTGTACTTTATCATTTTTTTCCAATTTTTTTTTTTTGGTTAAGTTTTTGACACCTCGCTAGGTGACTGGTGGTACTCAAATGTTGCCATATTCTAAAAGTGGTACAATCGGTGAAAAGGTTTAAAAGCCCTGATCTAAATAATAATATCAGTAGGAGTGAATCCACTGTTTTTCCAACAAGATTGGAAATACTTTTATTTTTAATGTGATGGTGTAATAAATTCTAATCCAGGAACTCTCAGTTACATTGCTTAATTTTCTTTCCATCTTACTGCTTATCTTCAAACCCAGTTTGTTTTTGTGATTAATCACTATGTTTTAATTATGTTCAATTTGTAACAATGAAAATACATCCTGCATATCAGATATTTACATTACGATTCATAACAGTAGCAAAATCACAGTTCTGAAGTAGCAACAAAAATAATTTTATGGTTGGGGGTCACCACAACATGAGGAACTGTATTAAAGGGTCGCAGCATGAGAAAGGTTGAGAACCACTGGTCTACAGAATTATGGTGATTAGAACTGTAAATAGTTTCCATCGTATTCCTATGCTGTAATACAGAAATCCAATTTCATTGCTGCCTTGCCTAGGTATTTTACAAGGGAAATCGAGCTTTTTTAAAAAAAAAAATTAAAATATTTAAAATATACTATCTAGTGCAGTGGTTCTCAACCTTTTTAATGCCGTGACCCCCCAACCGGTCGTAAGTCGAGGACTACTCAACTGGTGCAGCACCGTTTGCACTGAGTGTTTCAAAAGCCAATAGAATAAAAGGGAGTAGCACAGCTAAGGAAAAGGGGGAAAAAATGGCGGACTACGTTGTTTGCTGACCCCCGTGAAATGGTCATTCGACCCCAAATGGGGTCCCGACCTACAGGTTGAGAACCACTGATCTAGTGAGTAGATAGATTGTCACTATATGTTTATGTATATATAGATATGTAGTATGTGCACATTTGCACACATATGTCTCCTAAACCTATTTCCAGGTATGTTGTATGCAGTTGGTGGCTATGATGGTGCATCGCGTCAGTGCCTTAGCACAGTGGAATGCTATAACTATAATACAAAACAGTGGACCTATGTTGCAGAGATGAGTACTCGACGTAGTGGAGCTGGTGAGCAATCAGAACTTAAATTACATTTGTGACAGAAAATGTATCTCTTCCCCCCCCCCTTTCTCTCTTACTCTCTCTTCCTTTGAGTTGGTTTTAACTTTTGGCAAATGCTCAGACAATCACTGCAATTTTTACAGCAAGATTATTTTGGAAGTAGTTTGCCTGATTCTTATTGCTGAGAGAGAGAGAGAGAGAGATTCAGCTAAGCTCCCTCAGTTGGCTTTGTGACTAAAGCAGGACTAGGATTCACAGTGTTCTGGTTTCTAGCCTGATGAATTATTTCACTAAACCAGCTCTTTAGTAAGTTCTCTCATAAAACTTACCAAACGGCCTTTAGCAAATTACACTGCCCATTTACTTACGAGTTAAATACAGTTTAAGTAGCCAAAGCACTGCAATTCAGCTGGAGAAATTTGACTTTTGACATGCCTGGCTCTGGGTCAACCCAGGCTAAAAACTAAAATTGGGCTATTTTAAAACAAGTTTTATTTTAAAATAGGTATCACAGTTCATTTTATCACCTCTAGATATTTATTGCAGAAGGAAAGTTATGTTGATCTTTGGTAGCCAGAGAATAAAGAATCTGGCAGCAACTTTTGAGATTAAGAAATTTAAACCCTAGCACAATGGCTGTTTTTGCTTTGGCACTGGTGCCAACCAGTCCAAGCCACATCAATTCATTCAAATATATGCCATATTCTGTGCATACTTAGGCCTAGAGTATTATTATGATAAAATAATTCCCTTTGATCAGTTAAGACTATAACTCCCATCACACTCAGTCAATGTAGCCTATTACTGAAGGGCTCAGAGTTGGGGGAAGCTGACAAACAAACAAAAGCCGAAATGTCTGATGCAAGCAAAGAAAATAGAGACAGATAAATATGCCCTGATTTGTTTATTTTTAACATTGCAAACTGCAATGTTAATGTTTAAACATTGTTAAAACATCTGATGCAGGAATGCATTTTGTTCCTTGCTTTCAGGTTGTCAGCTCCATGTCTAGCAATGACTTCTTTTTAACACAGAGATGTCTTTTTTTTCCCCTTCTAGCCCATTGTTCAGACACATACAATTTCTCTGGGGAAGACTATGGCACTGCTGCCACTCTGCAATTACAATTCATTCAACCAGATGCCCTTTTTAATTTTCTTCTCTGGGCAGCTAATTTTCAGTTAGCTGCCCAGAGTCATGTATTTGAGATGGGTTGCTATATAAATTTAATAAATATATGCACACTGTTTAGCTTTTCTTTCTGATGAGCGATTTCTTTCTTCATTCTTCTCTCCATCCTCTGTCTGAAGATCTAGATCAGTGCTTCTCAATGTTTGTGTGACGGCGACGGCGGTGCGCATGCGCGGCGCCCCCATGTGCGACGCGCATGTGCGACGGCCCCCCATGCGCGACGCGCATGTGCGACGGCCCCCCATGCATGATGCGCGTGCACGACACCGCCCTCATGCGCGACGCACATGCGCGGCGGCGGCCCCGTGCACGGTGCGCATGCGCGGTGCCGCCCCTGTGCACGGTGCACATGCGTGGTGGCGCCCCTGTGCGCGGTGCCACCCCCGTGCGCGGCGCGCGTGCACGGCGCCGCAAAAAATGGCGGATCGCCACCTTTGGCGACCCCCGAAACATGGTCGATCAGCCCCAAATGGGGTCGCGACCCATAGGTTGAGAACCGCTGATCTAGATAATACCTGTATCATTAATTAATATATTAATTAATGGAATTATTAATTATGGAATTATCAAATTTAATTATTACTGATTGTTAATTAATTATTATTGTCCTTTTTTTCTTGTTAAAATATAAACCAAGACAACACACTGTACACGAGACACTGGAGATTGTTATAGTTGAAAACTAATAAAATGTCTATAGATAATACTTGCGGGACAGCCATTCTCCCCTCCTGATTGTTATAATTCCACAAAGGATTATTGAAGAAAGTAACCTTTCTTTGCTTTTTCAGGCTTACAGAGTGAGCCCATCCTGATCCTGTAGAACATTGTTTCTCAACCTTGACAATTTTAAGGCATGTGGACTTCAACTCCCAGAATTCCACAGCCAGCATTGCTGGCTGTGGAATTCTGGGAGTTGAAGTCCACATGCCTTAAAATTGTCAAGGTTGAGAAACACTGCTCTAGAAAACTGTATGCACAATCCTTATATCTAGCTTTCTAGGTCAAACACCTCTGTAATGCTTTAAACTACAAAAATCCTAGCGCAGGGAGTCTTCCCTATTTATTTCCTTTGACACTTTTAAATGGCGTTCTGTTTCCAACCAAAATTTTAGAGACTCCATGGAAGTCTGCTTTGGTCATCTGTGTTAACCACTAAATGAGGAAGACCCCCCCCCCTTTTTTTTTTTTGTCTGAATGTGGTTTGTGGCTGTTACATCAGTTTAGGGATAAAGGTCATAGCCCCTGCATTCCGAAGGTTAAAATATGCAGTACATTTTTCTATTTAAGAGATAAGCTTTGTTTCATCCCAACTTAAATCCTACATCTAGCACCTCCATTCATCTGATGAAGTTAGCTGTAGCTCATGAAAACTTAAGCCTTTTCAGAACATTTCTTAGGCTGAGAAGGTAGTACCAGATTCATGATCCATAATATATAATATTATTAAATCTATTTAATATATTTCACATTAAAAATCATAATTAGCAGCAATTTTTGGATTTTTATACTTAAGATCTTAGAGGAGGGCTTATAAATAATGTTCTCATATTTAAAAATATTTTAGTCATATGATCTCAGTAACGTTTTAACAACTAAAATGTTGTTGATGCAATTATGTCCTTTTATTATTTTTTTTAAAAGTTGATGGCATTTGAGAAAACAATAGCCCCTTTTCTCTGATTTCTGAATCTTTTTATTTTATCTTTGCAGGTGTTGGGGTTTTAAATAACTTATTATACGCAGTTGGAGGACATGATGGCCCTTTAGTTAGAAAAAGTGTTGAAGTTTATGATCCCACCATCAATGTATGGAAACAGGTTGCAGATATGAACATGTGTAGGAGAAACGCAGGTAAATATTTGAAGTCATAAAGGACTTTTTAATGGTCAATTTGAAAAAGCACTAGTTATCATGCAATTTTAAAAAGTCATCAATACAATCATAAATAAGGCAAGGGAATATGTTAAAAGTAGCCTTTTATGGGAATATGTTAAGAGTAGCCAAAGGCATAAAAGTATTGGTTCATTTTCTTAATGGATATACACTCTGACAACATTATAGCAGTTCCCAGCAATTTTAAAACTACAATGCTTTTTATTGTTTCAAGGTTAGCACATCAGCAGAAGACAGAAAAAGAAACAAAACAAAATTATAGTTCTATCAAGACTGAATTGATCATTTTTAAATTGGTCATACTTTCTGTTTTGTTTTTATTTTGTCTTAATTGTTAGTTGCTCAGAATCATGTATATCAGTGGAGGAGAACCTATGGCACGCATGCCAGAGGCAGCACTTAGAGCCCTCTCTGTGGGCACGCATGCCATGCCCGGGAGATGGCAACCATCTCTCTTCAATCAGCCTCCTGCTAACTCGCTGAGGTCCCATGTGGCCAGATGCATCCCGGCACTGGTTTCCCTCCCTCCCATCCCGTCCTTCCTGGTCTTGCATGCTCTTCTTTTCCTGGGCACAACCCACTGCATCACCTCCTCAGCCGTCAGCCGGCCATCCAGCTCAGAGGTGGCTTCTTTGAACTGCTAGCGGCGGGCTGTGGAGCTCCAGAGTGTGCTGGTCGAGGGGCCAGCAGGCTGTGGCTGCTGACGGACACCATCGGCCCCCATGCGCTCGCTGGCCTGTGTGTGGGGGGCGATGATGTCAGGCAGCAACCACCCCAGCCTTGCCTTGCCCCATGCTGCCTCACCTCAATCCGTAGGATGAGCCTCCTGTCTACCACCCCACCTGCCAGAGACCCTCTGGATCTCCCCCAACCCTCCCCACCCCCCACATGCATCCCTCTCCACGAGCAACATTGAGGTGACCACGCCCACCTTGGCCACACCCACCCAATCTGCCATGACCACCACAGCCATGCCCACCCAGTGGGCCATGCCCATCCAGTGGGCCATGCCCACTTGGCACCCGGCGATAAATAAGTGGGTTTTGGGTTGCAGTTTGGGCACTCGGTCTCTAAAAGGTTCACCATCGCTGATGTATATCAGTCAATCAATTTATTACAGCCAAAGGCCATACATAAATCAAACATTCAGATAAAACAAAACTAAACAGAACCATCACAAGTGGACATAGCAATACATCACAATCAGTGATGTAATCAATGAGTGACCAAGGTCTGCCTAGTTTACAGACAGTATATCAAAAACAAGCTAGCTTCAGAAAAACTGAATCATACTGATCTGACAATGAAAATACATTGAGTATAGTCTAAAACTGGATAAAACAGGTAATAAAATCTATTATAAAAGATTATTAAAAAGATCTAAAATGATTATTTATGTTTCTGGCGAATCCCCAATGCTGCTGCACTGAATCTAACCACCTGCACCATGATCACTGCCTACTCATCTTTAAGCAGCCACTGGAGATAAATACTTTCCGAACAACCAGGATGCTTATCAATTATGGGGAGGATATGGTTTTTCCAAATGGCTCTGTAGAAGGAACATCGAAAAAGTATGTGTCCAATGGTCTCCACCTCCCCTGAGCCACAGGAGCGGTGTCTTTCAGACAGTGTTGTCTTTGTATACTTGCCGTACAGGACGGCCGATGGAAATGCATGGCACTGTGCAAGCGAGAATGCTTTCCAGTGGTTTACTGACTCCAACTGACTAAGATACCTGGCAGGCGTAACCATGTATCTAATAGAGTCTGGAGCCAGAAACAGCGGAGCCATACCTAAGTCTGCTTGCCTCTCGATGTCCTCTACCCTTTGATGCAAGGTTTGTTTTGCTTGGTCGTAGTCCAATTTGAGAATTGAGGCTGACGAGAAGCCTAGTTTGGCAAGGTTGGATTCGACTGCTTTGATCCATGAAGAGGAAAATTTATCTTGTAGAATTAATGGAGCAAGGCCTTGTGGAAAGCAATTAAGCCTTAGCCAGATGTTTAAGGATTCTTGCTTCGACTTTTATCAATCCTGTCTCCAGGCACAGAAATGCATTTGGGACACAGCGCAGCATCTGGATAATTGTTCTGATAAATTTGGATTGAATTTTTTCCAGTGGTGTAAAACACAAACCTGAGGGTCCGAGCAAGGTCCCATAAAGAAGCTGTGCTACTGACTTGGCCAGAAAGAACTTAATTGCAACTGGAACATAGTGTCCTCCCTTTGTGCGGAAAAAAATTAAGAATGGCATTCGCTGATCGTTGGCCAGAGGCAGCTGTGTATTCTCTATGGGCTTTTTGTGAGCCAGTGGCATGGGTGACTACCCCTAGGTATTTAAAGGTGGTCACCTGCTCTATTTTGTGGCTTTTTAGATACCATGAGTACCATTTTGGCCTTTTTGCAAAAGCCATAACCTTTGTTTTCTCATACTTTATGTTCAGTTTATTATATTTGCAATACTGGACAAGGGCTCTCAAAGCTCTTTTAAGGTCAACTGGAGTCCTGGAGAGAATCACAGCATCATCTGCATAGAGCAGCAGAGCAATGCTTCGGTTTTTGGGGGGTGGTAATTTGGATTATTTAACCATTTTACCATATCATTTATGTAAAAATTGAAGAGCAAGGGGGGCAAAATGCACCCGTTTAACCCCCTTTTGAGTTTCAACTGACCTCGAGAGAGACCCTTGAGGGATGTTTTGGTATGTAAGGCATGTAACAGATGGAGGAGTCTGTGATTAATTGAGGCAGCTTTCAGCTTCTCCCATAGCTTAGTCCTTGTAACCGTGTCAAAAGCTGCCTTAAGATGTATAAAGGCAGCGTATAATGATACAGGTCTTTCTGATGCATATTTTTCAATCAAATGATGAAGAACTAAGCACTGATCTATGGTGCCTCTCCCCTCTTTAAACCCGGCTTGTTCTTCGGCAATCAGGTTCTCAAGATCCAGCCACTCCTTTAATTTATCTTGAAGGAGATTGGCATAGAGTTTGCTGGTTATATTTAGCAGACTTATTGGTCTGTAGTTGGCAGGGTTATCTCTCTTTCCCTTTTTATAAATTGGGACAATTGCCAAGCCCCAATCCTCTGGGACAGGGCTGCTGGAGTCAATATAGGTGAATAGCGCTGCCAGGATGGGTATCCACCACTCTATAAGTAATTAATAATTCAGCCGAAATAAAATCTGCTCCTGGAGCTGAATCATGTATATGAGATGTGTCACTGTATAAATTTAATAAATATATGCATACTATTCAAGTAAACAATGCATATTGTTTGCTTAAGCATTTCCCATTAAAATTGCTCCCAGAGATGCTTACAAATACGAACTCAAGCCACTTCTTAAATATACTCATGGGATGTTTTTAATTTAATTTTCTTTACAAAAAAATACACAAAAAGCTATGAACAAAGCAGACTGAAAAACCATAGTACACTTGCCCAGTAGATGACCTAATTAATTATTAAATTATATTACAAAAAAAGAAAATAAAAATAAAAAACTAAACTAAAAATTGTTTAAAGAATATGTTAAATTCATAACAATTCTCTAAATATATCACATCATGTTTAATAATAATCTATAAAATTACTCAAAGATTTGTCTATTGTAAAATATATGATTCTGCCAAATAGAAACATAACTCTGTTGTGAGTTTTTTTTAATTAGTAGAAAAAAAATGCCTCCTTAAAAATTGATGCCGAATAATTTTTGAACTCTAATGTCTAAAGTAAGTATTTTTCCAGTTTAGTATAATTATTTAGTTACAATTTCAAACTTTGGAATACAGTTCAAAATAATATTCACAAATTTAACACATTGTATTAAAATATTCTACAATAATGAACAATGGACAAAAGTAAATAATATGGAAAAAAATCTTATTTCTAACAAGGAAAATCTACAGGTAATTCTTTCTGATGTATTCTTTGAAGCCTCTGACAACATCTTGTGGAATAATTTGTTTTGATGAATTAAAGAAATAAACCTAATACCTTTTACTTCCATTTATTGATGTTTCATTATTGGATATCTCAGCTTTATCTCATATGTCATAAATGTCAATTATTTTAACATAGTTTAAAACTTATAGATACAAAATTTATTTGATTTGAAAAGACGATTAATAAAAAAATAATATCTCAGACTCTTTTGAGGCAGCTGTTTGGTTCTGCTGAGTTTGAGTTTAGTAAAGGTGGCTGAGTTTATTATATTGCCAGTGTTCTATATTAGGCAAAGAAAATTCCATCTTAAGTTGTTGAAATTCGTTAATATAATTGATTTAAAGTAATTATTCCAGATTCAGCCCATTCTTTCCAATAGAATGTTTTATCACCTATTTCTAAAGTAGAATTCTTCCATAAAGCTTTCAATAAACCCAGCATTGAAATCCAATCTATGTCACGGTAAGGCCCAAATATATCTAGCTGCTCTCAAACTAGGAAATGAAGGGCATTTTTTGTTATATGTTGACCCAAGAATTGCCAAGATGCTAACAGAAAAAAACATTCCAATGAAGCCTATAACTTTGCATAAATATAGATTATAATATACACTTATTTGTTTATTTATCAGTCAAACGTGCATGCCATCCACCTCGCCAAAGGCAACTCTAGGCAGTTCGAATAAAATGCACTATAAAATATTAAAACAGTAAATAAAGATCTTAAATTTAAAAGTCAATTAAAATAAAACCAAGATGATCTTTCATTGAAAGATGATCTCAGTTTAGCCAATGAAATTCTTAGTAATATAAATATGTCTTCAGTAATTTATCGATCTGAATAAAATATCTACTTGAAATTAACATGAGAATGCTGTTAAATATAAATCAATTGGGGCCGGGGGATAGTAACCATTTCAGTGAGGTTAATCTTACCCCATCAACCTAATGGAATTTTAACTCTATAATTTGAATCATTTGTGGCTCTTGTGAGAAGTTTGAGTGAATTTGTTCAGTGATCCATTTGTTTTCTTGGTTTTCCAAATTATTCTCTGTAGTCAGAAGTGTCAATACTTTCCCTCTCTTCCTTTTTCAAAGTCCAAATTCTGTTTCCATAGAGCAGTGGTTCTCAACCTGTGGGTCGGGACCCCATTTGGGGTCGAACGACCATTTTACGGGGGTCGCCAAACAACGCAGTCCACCATTTTTTCCCCTTTTCCTTAGCTGTGCTACTCCCTTTTATTCTATTGGCTTTTGAAAGCCAATAGAATTAGACTCTCTTGAATAGAGTCTAATTCTATTGGCTTTCAAAAGCCAATAGGAATTGTCCAGGCTGTCTCTGCCCTGCTGAGCCCGCCAAAAGTCCCATTCTGCAAACAATGCTGCACCAGTTGTGTAGTCCTCGACTTACAACCGGTTGAGTAGTCCTCGACTTACGACCGGTTGGGGGGTCGCGGCATTAAAAAGGTTGAGAACCACTGCCATAGAGGGTCAAGGAGACTACCATTGCCTCCAGGATTCTGATTTCTGTAGGTATAAATACATGATGGAATATTAATATATTTTCCAAGGCCTTCATGACTACTGTACTGAGTGCTAGTCTGCAGTGTGTTCCTTTATTGTTGATGGTTGATCTTAAAAGGCAGCAGCTGTGTATTACTTCAGTCTCTCCACTTTCAGTTCTAAGGCTGGGTACTTGTACCTGTTGTCATAGTTCGGTCTTCGTATTTATTTTAGTCTCATATTTTTACTTGCTCCTTGGTTTTTATTATTAAAGCTTCCAGAACCTTTGCACAGCAGGTATTATTATTTGGAGAGGACAATTTCTTTCTTTTTTGTTCCCTTCTGGGTTTGATTTCTTTGCCATCGTGTTTTTGTGCTGTAAACTGTAAACCACCCTTAAGTGCTGGGAATAAGGTGACATATACATTTAATAAATTACTATTGTTATTACTGTAGCTCTTGTTTGTTCCTCCAATTTTTCTTTCAAAACTAAACTAGCAAATATTGCCTGGCTGGTGAGCAACCAAGTGACAATGTTTTATTTCTTTTTCGTATTAGGGGTTTCTGCTGTAAATGGACTTTTATATGTAATTGGAGGAGATGATGGCTCCTGTAACTTGGCCACAGTGGAATATTATAACCCGATGACAGATAAATGGACAGTTGTATCATCATGTATGAGTACAGGAAGAAGTTATGCAGGTATTGGAAAATAAATTTGGAAAATACTGTTCCCTTCTAGAACAAAACTTGATATATTTTCCAGCTCAGGAATTGTTTTATCATCATCATATTCATCACCATTATTTTAAGGATATGGGGAATGGAAGGAAGTATGGCCCCGACATTAGCAGAATGGGCAGGACCTTTTACTTTTTAAATGGAAGTCATACCGGTTATAGCATATGGTGCAAAAAGTGAATAATTGTGGAATCATTGATGTTTGGTCAGGCAAAGAGAGAGGCAAATGACAAAATGCATATTGTGATATCACAATGCATATTTCATTATTTTGACACCATCACCAGATTTTGTGGGCAAGTCTGTGAATTTGGATAGCGTATATTTTCTCAGGTTCAGTACCCCATCTTCATCAAGGTGGTACTCATGATATGTATTACAGGTATATGAAGCATTTGTGAATAAACCTTCTCCAATATTATTTAGCAATGTTCCAGTATAAATAATTGATCTCTTGCATCTCTCTTTCTAGGTGTGACTGTTATTGACAAACCATTGTGAATTGGTGCAGATTTTCCCGTCTTCATTATGCACTTAAAACCAAGCTTTAACAAGTAGTATTGAAGTGATTAAGCATCAAAGCACTTCTCAACTTGTGGCTGTGCACTGACACATGTTGGAAACTGCAATTAAGGTTTAAAATGAAGATTATTCCAGGTTGAAGCAAAGTGTAGCATTATTCCACAGTAGGCTGCATCTACTGGAGATGTACAAAACTGTATGGACCTTATTTGCTGGTTTCTAGACAAAACTCATTTTCTTAAGAGCCAATCATGTCTCCCATATGGTTGACTATAGATTTTTTTTCCTGGTAGAACATAAAGTAATGTGTTCTGGTGAAAGTAAACAAAATAGAGATTTTGGGGAGTAAAATGTCCATGAATAGTAGGTTTTATGCCTGCATTACTTTTTCTCAATCATCTTTGGTCATATTACAAATGTTTGCATATTTATAAATTTTCTTCATATTTGTTAGGGACTTGCTGATACTATTTATAACTGGCATGGTATTCCAATACTACATTGTAAAACAGAGGTGTATATTTTGATATTTACTAATGCCATGAAACTGAAACCGCAAAAATCTCAATTAAAAAGTGTTTTAACTTATATACTGGTGATTTCTAGTCAGCAAGATCCCTTTGTTATGTTTTGATGTATTTATCTTAATTGTAATTGGACATGGTAATAATTATGGATTAAAATGAATGTATGGGGTTATTTTACTTGCATGGCATTTAAAACTCTTCCCGTGTAACAATATTTAAAGTTTGTAATTATTTAAAACTGTTAGCTGCTATTAATTACTGCTATTAATTATTATATGTGAACATATTTGTACAAGAAATATATTAAACTGGATGTATTAAATTTGACCCAAAGTATTGTCATTTTGATCTGTTTTCTTTAATAAAAATTTACATACTTTTCTCAAGTTTGAGGTTGCTTTTTTATCTGGTTGCTCTTTCATTGGCAGATGACTTCACTCTCATAGCTAGAAAAATGTGGGATAGACAGGATCATCACCAGATGGATTTGTAACTGGCTGACAAACTGTACTCAACGAGTAGTCCTTAATGGTACTGCATCTACATGGAAGAAAGTAAGCAGGGGGTACCACAAGGTTCTGTCTTAGGCCCTGTTGTGGTTTGGATGAGGAGTCGCATGTGGAGGGGGAGCCTGGGTTGGCATTGGAACTTTTGGAAGGCTCCGATTGAGCAAGAGGCCTCAGAGGCGGAGCCAGGACCTCCTGCCCATGCTTAGGTGGAGAGGCAGCTGTTTACATGGCTTGAGCTGAGTGAGGAGGAGGAATAGATGGGGCCCGTCCCCGATGCATGTATGCACAGAGAGGAGAAGAACAGAGTGTTACAGGTCGGCTCTTAGGGAAAAGAAGGAAATGTTAGCCATCCTCTCCCTGGCTTGAACATAAATAGAAGGGGTTTGGGAGTGTGTCGGAACCCATATTTTTAAGGGGCTCTTTCTAATTCTAATTCTACTTCTTTCTATTCTTCTGGGTTCTGCCATACTCCTGGAAGAGAGGGGAGAAGGTGCTGTGGGCTGCCTCTTTCTTTTTCTTTATCACTACAATGTAACTCTTTCGCTGTCTCTGCATATACATTCTTTGAACTGTCCTTCCTTGATGTCAACTAGGAAGGGGGGGAGAAAGGAATACACCTCCAGGCATCCGGCTTATCTCCTGTTTGGGAGGGAAGTTGCGAAGACTCAACAAACACCGCTATAATCCTGAGATTGACTGGCATTAACAGTTTCCCACAATGGACTTAACACTTGGGGATTGGCCCATTCGAACTGACCAGATAAACTATTGGGGTGGGGTTTGCTTGGGACTCTTTTAACCTATTGACCTGAGGGGAAAACCTAAGATCCTGCCTATCATGCCTGCTATCAGCTTCTCCTAATAAAAGTTCCTTTTGTAAGAAACTGCTTCCAAGAGTCCTGCTTTCTTTAGGATGAGCTTTTGAAGTGGGCCCTGACAGAGTGGCTGTTTGTGACTGTTCATGTTACTGCATACTTCAATCAGTTGGATTTCTTTGCCAAGGTTTTTTTTTTTTTTGCCAAGATTCAGGTTTGCCGGGACTCTTTGGGTCTGAAGTGCTAACTAAGTCTCCCTGCTGGGAGCCAATTGACATTAAAAGTGCCTTAGCCATGTGAGCTGGGGCTGCTGATGCTTGATCAAGCATTTAAAGACTTGTTAACTAGGGTTCTTCCATGAACATAGTTTGTTGTTGTTTTGTAAATAAAAGGTTTCTACTCATGATTAAGCAGTTGCTTAGTACTCGCAAGGGCTGGGTCAGAACAGGCCCAGTCTGACTCTTCAATATCTTCATAAATGATTTAGATGAGGGAATAGAAAGGGAACTCATCAAATCTGCAGATGACACTAAGCTGGCAGGAATAGCCAATATCCCAAAAGACAAGCTCGGGATCCGAAAAGATCTTTTTATTTTTTAAAAAAAGTTTATATTGATTTTTTCCCCATACATTCAGCAATATGTATTCAACAAACATGCTGTCTGAGTTTACATTCACTAATACATATTTAGTTCCTAATCCTTTATTTTTTCATCTAGCCATCGATAAAGTAATCCCAAGTTTGGTAATATTCCGTTTCTTCTTTTTCTTTCAATCTCATAGTCAGTCTATCCATCTCTGCACATTCTAGTATTTTTTTAATTATTTCTTCATCTGATGGTATTCCTTCATTTTTCAAATATTGTGCAAATACAATTCTTGCTGCTGTTGTAACATGCAAAGTCAAATATATACTTTGTTTATCAGTCTTTTCTGACATACCTAATAAAAAAAGGTCAGGTATATATAACTCCGTCGGTAGTCCATCTGGCCCTGGTGCTTTCTTGTTTTTTTGTCTTCTTATGGCCTCTGTTATTTCCATCATTGTTATTTTTTCCTCTAACATAGTCTTACAGGTTTCTGAAATTTTTGGAAGATTATTTTCTTCCAGATATTGAACCATTCTCTCTCTTGGAATTTTCATCTATATCATACAGTTTCTTGTAATATTCTTCAATTATCTTTTTTATTTCTTCATTTTTAAATTGTAGGCAACCCTTTTCATCTACTAAATCAGTTTCTTCTCCTTTTGTTTTTTAAGTTTATAAGCTAGCCATCTTCCTGTTTGTTTGCATTTTCAAAAAAGTTTTGTTTTGCTCTTTTTATTTGCTGTGTCAATTTTTCTGAATCCAACAAATTTAATTTGTGTTTTATTGTTTCCATTTCTCTTTTTAGAATCTTCTTTTGCAGATTCATTTGCAGTTCTGATTCTAGTTTTTCATTTTTTTCTCTTAATAGTATATATTGCTGTCTTTTCTGTTTGTTTGTTTTTTTGCCATGTATGTTATAGCTATACCTCTAAAGTATTCTTTGGCTGTATCCCATACGTTTTGTAATGTTGTATCTTCTTTATTTTCTTTGAAGAAAAACTCCATTTCTTTTTTGCTAGTTCTATAAATTCTCTTTCTTTTAATATAGATTGGTTCAAAGTCCATCTTGATTTTTTTGATATTCCTCTTTTAAGGGGTTGTGATCTGCCCATGTGCCTGGTTCTATCTCAATTTCCTACATACTTGTCCTTAGTTCAGTACAATATCACTTCCTAACTACAAAGCTAATTGCAAAAGGCATAAATTTCAGATGGTGAATGCCAGAAGGGATCTTAATCAACTGGAATAATAGAAGATACCGATTGGACTCAGTTTGGAAAGCAGAAGACTTTGATGAAAGAAATTGAGCATTCTTAGACATCTGGTTTTAAAAGATTGTTACAAAATTTTCTTTTAAAGATCTTTGTAAGTTATTTACCCTAGAAATTAAATCTAATTTTTTTTCCACGTCCTATAAGTTAAGCAGTCTTTCTCTGAATCAATCTAAGTTCGATTTTTAAGAATTCTTTTATCTCCTTACCCCTCCTGTAATTGCTTGCCGCTTTTAACTCTCTTCTCCCCTAGTCCTTCTTTACTTCATAGCTTCTTCCCAGTCAGGGGATCAACATTTCTAAGTCCATGAGGAAAATGAGTAAAAGAACAGGCTCACCCAGTTTCAGCATGCTGTTGACAATCAGCTGTTTATCGGACTGCCACGGCTCTTCACTTTCCTTCCGGCTGGTGATGACTTGGGCTGTCTGGGTTTACCTAGCAGCTTTTCTTCCATCCTTTTGGAAGGTTTCTTAAGTCAGTCTGGATCGACTGCTGTCTGGTCTGGACTCCCAAAGCAACTCCTTCTTTGTTGCTCCTCCAGGGCAACTTTACGATCCTTTGGGCTCGCCGGGCCGAATAAAATCAGGCTAAGAAGCCAGAGCCCTGGCTTTTTCCACCTGTCTCATCAAACGCCAAACCGGAAATCCGGGATCTGAAAAGATCTTGACAGACTTGAACAATGGGCCCTATCCAACAACATGAAATTTAATGTGGAAAAAAGCAAGGTTTTATACCTGGGCAGGGAAAACCAAAGGCACAAGTACAGGGTAGGTGAAACCTGGCTCGAAAAGAGTAACTGAGAGGGACCTTGGAGTCCTACTGGACAATCATTTAAATATGAGCCAGCAGAATGTGGCAACAGCCAAAAAAGCTAATACAATCCTTGGTTCTATAAAGAGAAGCATAGAATCAAAATTCCATGAAATATTAGTAGCGCTTTTTTAAAGCCTTAGTATGGCCATACCTGCATCCAGTTTTGGTCACATTACAAAAAAGATGTTGAGACTTTGGAAAAAGGGCAAAGAAGAGCAACTAAGATTATTAAGGGCCTGGAGAATAAAACATATGAAGAATGGTTGCAGGATTTAGGTATGGCCAATCTGGAGAAAAGAAGAACTAGGGGGGACATGATAGCAGTATTCCAGTATTTGATTGGCTACCACAAAGAAGAGGCGGTCAATTTATTTTCCAAAGCACCAAAAGGCAAGACAAGAAACAATGGATTGAAACTAATCAATAAGAGAAGCAACCTGGAATTAAGGAGAAACTTCCTAACAAATTGATAACAATTAACCACTGGAACAGCTTGCTTTCAGACATGGGTGCTTCATCCCTGGAGGTTTTTAAGAAGAGACTGGATAGCCATGTGTCTGAAATGATATAGGGTCTCCTGCTTGAGCAGGGGACGATTAGAAGACCTTCAAGGTCCCTTCCAGCTCTATTCTGATTCTGATTCATCATCTCCTGGAACAATACCAAAAATAGATTATGGAACTAACTAATATAATATTGTTGGAAGAAATGACTTCATTGTGGTTCAGTCCAAGCTGGGGATAAGCAACACGGCGACTGCTTTAGAAAGAAGGTTGCAGTTTATTGAAGAGGAGAGCCAGACAGAAAGTTGGCTCTGGAAGAAAAAAGAGGAAAAGGGGCTGAACACATGTAAGGGGTGGGTTTTTATATCTTTGGAGCCTTTTGTTTGGAGTTGCTTCCTGTTCCTGTTTTGAGGCTTTGTATTTCTTGTATCATGCATTTTGACCAGTGTCTGGGTGTGCCCTTTGGCATCTCTGTATTAATCCTATTATGTCCTGTCTTAAACTTTGGGTGGGATATGTAGATTTTAGGTGTCTTTGACTACTTGATCTTCTAGCTGGGGCCTCCATCTGCATTTCTACAGAGCTGGTTTCTGCTTGGGGGAGGGAGACCTGGGGCTATTAATAGAAGCTGGCCATGCTTTCTGCCTCTTTAAGATTCTTTGAGGAAATATATTTTTCTGCCCTTTTAATATTCCTGTCTCTGGGGGCTCACTTCCCACAACCCCCCCTTTGCGCCATAATAGTGTGGGTGACACACTTTTACTGGCACAAGATTAAAATTGATCTGATCAGGGAGACTTGGTAAAGAAGCTTTAAACTGTTAAGCCAAAAAAAGAAGATACTAATGGAGGCAAACAGAAAAAGATCCCTGCTTCCAACCCATA